TTTGACCTGGTTTGGGACATTTTTTCACCCTCCTGTTGCATAGACGGCACTGAATTGGAAGTAAAATACTTTTTCCTTCCTTCCTTGTTGCAGTAAAGTGTAGTAGGGTAGAAATATGTTACCTTGAGAGTCTTGCCGAAGGACTCATAATGTACAATGTATATTTAAAGTTGGCACACCATGTCCACCAGCAGCGATGGCCTGGACTCTGAGAACCCTCCCCCATGGTTGCCAGAGGACAAGGGCCAGGTGCCTGTGAATGCTGTGACCAGTTGGAGCTAGCTGGTCATTTACATTAGTTCCTCCGCTAATGGGGACCGATTGAGGCAGATCCTTGGGTATTGTGATAGATACATGGATAGATTGATCTCCAGTAGCCTGTATCCATTTCAGTCAACTCTTATGTAATATGACACAGCCAGGACACGGTCATGTCATTGTGCTCCAGTGGTGTGGATTGTTTCTCCCACATTAAGTGGACACGCCATGATATAACTGGAATACTGGTAACACCAACTCTCCAGTTCTGACAAAACTGTCCACCATGAGTATTGCTGACTTTGAACAACATTCACTCACTCGCATACAGAGCCTCCAGGAAGTACATTAGAACCAGCAGCAGCACCATGTTTACATAGGCTCAAGTTACCTTGTTACAAACACCTGTGACTGAACCTTTTTTTCTTCTTTTTTTTGTCTCGAACAAAACAACCCTCCTCTGAATATTACATAGTATTAAAATGTCATGGTCTACTGTGAAGGGTTTGTCAGAAGCATGGTTAGACTTTCTGATTTACAGGTCTACTCCTGCAGATGGACCAGAGGAATACAAATATATCATTAAAGTGCAAGTCTCATGGTATATACAACTTTGCAGATTTGGATAGATGCAGGTGTGGTATCAGTATCGTATGATTCATTTGCACTTTTGTGTATCAATTTCAAAGGCTAAAACTAAAATACAGTGGAGGCAGAGCCTTTATATACAAAGGCTCCAAATATGGTCTTGTTAGAGGAAATTACCTCCAAAATTACATGTCTGACTGCACAAGCCAGCCCCTACATTCACACTCTAGTAGGCTTTCCTTCTGTGAGTGGGATCAAAGATGTTGATGTATGTATGTCTTTGGATTCTCATTCAACAACGGAAATGTGACAAAGGCCACTTATACTAATTTGTATATAATGAAACGATTGCATGTATTCTGTGGAGTATTTCAATACTCGGCCATAATTTCCAGGTAAATAAGTATACCAGTATGCACCTTTTCACTCTACATTTTATGATAACAGCTTCCCAGCTGATGGTAATACCCAATCAACCTGCAGGCCAAGCCGTCCGTGCTAAATAAGTCATGCCTCCTTGTTTTTGTTTGGGGCGTTACAAATACAGACCTCAAAATACATACCGGTACTTTTAATTAGGGCTGGGACGAGTCCAAATTTACTACCCGGGTACCCAGCACCCTATTACCCGACTCTACCTGCTGTAGATATTTAGAGATAGGTACAAACTGTCAGATTGATTTGGAAAAGTTTGACCGTAGCCCTGGCAAAATGTATTTAGATACATGTGTAAAACAATCTGGTCATGCATACACTGAAGTTTACGGTATGACGTTTTATCTTTATTCAAACATATAAAAATCAGAAGGAATGGATGCATTGTCAGAAATAAATGGGAACATTAGTGACTTATAGTGTAACCATAGAGTTTAAGATCATTTTTGTCATTAAACAATATATCAGGTGACTAACCACGACTATTCAGGACCCACCCGTCCCAGCCCTACTTTTGATTAACTTCAACAGCGCTAAGTTTACGTTTTCACACTTTTTTTCCCCCAGCTAGGGGGATATAGTCAATGCCTCGTCCGTAATCATTTTAGATTCCAAAGCGTAACTCGAAAACCGAAAACCAATATCTTTCAACAAAGTTGCGCCTTTTGCTGTTTATGGATTTGGGGCAATTTTATCGATTTCTGTGGAAACAATTTGGACCAAGTCTCAAAACAGAGAGGGAGGTGTTGTTTCCGGAGCAGAACTAAAACACTATTCAAAATAATTAGTACTTGTATTGCAAATCATATAAAATTAACAATGGAATTGCTCATTCATAAAAATCAAAAAGGATTTATACCAGGAAGATCTATTTCAGAAAACACAAGGTTGTTGTTATGATATTATCTTTGAATCAAAAACACAAAATAAACCAGGATTACTTCTGCTGATTGATTTTGAAAAGGCATTTGATACGGTATCAAAAGAATTTATAAAGTTGTACAAAAATATGGATATGGACCAGAAACGATAAGCTGGATAAATATACTAACTTACGATACATCAAGCATAATACAAAATGGGCATTTTTCAGAATTTTTTACAAATGAAAGAGGCTGTCGACAATTTTTCTCCTAGTAGCTGAAAGCCTAGCATGATTAGAAATAATAATAAAATTGAAGGGATTACCTACAGTCAATGACAAAGAATACAAACTTGGGCAATATGCTGATGATACTGAATTATTTCTAAATGGCAAAGATGAAAGCTTATATGTTGCTATAGAAACACTAAATAAATTCTACAAAATGTCTAGCTTAAAAATTAATGTAGACAAAAGCATGGATAGGCTCAAAAGCGGGTAGCAATGATCATTTACAAATAGAATGGCACAACAAGGAATTTGAAGTATTAGGAATTATGTTTAATCCAAACTTAAGTGAACTCTGGGTAATCCATACAAAAAGAAAGCTAGAAGAAATAAATAGATTGCTTGCAAATTGGAGAAAAGAAATCCAACGCTAATAGGAAAAATTAGTCATAAAAACTTTAGCATTGTCAAAACTAGTTCCTATATTTTTGGCACTACCTAACCCTCCTGAGGACTTTGTCTTGTCACTTGACAAAATATTTTACAATTTTATCTGGAATAATAAAAAAGACAAAATCAAAAGGAGCACTTTGACAAGAAAATATAAGGAAGGTGTATTATGCTTGCTTAACATTAGAGCCTTTATTGACGCACTAAAACTCTCTTCGCTCAGAGTATATTGTTAAAAGAAAACCATATAGTAACCCTTGTAATATCCCAATTAAAGATATACTCTTTGGGTGCAATGTTGACAAGCAATCTTTTGTTAAAAACCCATACTGGAAAGATGTATTGAGAGCTTTTGTAAAAAGAATATTATTAATGTTGATAGAATAGAAGAAATTTTGTGGCTTAACCACAACTTCAAACAAGCAACATACTACATAAAGCAGTGGGCTAATAGTGGAGTTTACTCAATTAAAGATATATGCAATGAAAACGGACTGATGTCATTTGAAGAACTGAAACTAAAATATCCAATGAAAGGTACAATATTAGACTAAAGACATCTTCAATATTCAAGAATCATGGAAAACAACAATCAAGAAAATTAGAAAAATATTTTTACAGAATTTGTATATAAACAGTTGCTTAAGTGATCTGATGAAGCGCTAGAAACTTTTATGATAAATTAATATCAAATGAAAATTTTAATTTTGTGATAAATGGCAATCAATTGTGATTTTAATTGGAAAACCATATTTACTGTTTATAGGAGGATGTAAAACTTTTAGATTTTCAGTACAGTACATGGAATTATCTACACAAAGAAGGAACTATTAACAATGAATTTGTAGCTTTTGTAATGCTGTCAATGAGGACGTCAGCCATGTCTTTTGGGAATGTAATGAAAATTTTGGAATGATCTTGAACTTTGGCTTAACAATTATCTTTCACAAAAAATTAAATTGACAAAATATCTTATTTTATCACATAATGGGTAGGTTTCTCGGCAGGATAAAGCCAACGGATAAAAACGATATCCGTTGGGGTCATATGCGGAGAGAGATGCAAATATCAAAGGTCAAGTAGGGACTACTTTCAGTGTTTACTTAAGAATTGACCTTCACTTTGTGTGAGTTCATTGGAACCTCTATGAACCTTCATAGAGTGAGGGCCAAACTGTATGAACGCTAGCTCTCTGTTGATACATGACATGTTTGAGTCTGATTGTGTGTTGCAACCGTTTTGGTTTGAAATAGGACAATGTTTGTTTCCAAAGAGTGTATTGTGCCATTCTATGCAATCCAAAATATGTCTTTAATACAGTATTCTGTCAATCTACATATCTGGGAACAATGAAAAAGTTAAAACAACAAAACAAAAAATGTTAAAAAATCAAACACTGTTCAATATTTTTTTTTATCCGAACATGGTACCTTTAGCTTTTTAGGAATTTCAACAACTAAAATAATCCTGTTTTGATGAACAAGTTTAAGTTTTACTCTGGTTTCTATGTCAGGTACACACCTGATATTGTTTTGATAGCTCCATAACTACTCTTGTATATGGACACACAGATAAAATAGAAATTCTCTCATCAAATTGGACTTAAGGTATCAGTCAGATTACTTGTTACCCTAAAACAAGGACTGGTAGGCTCTGAGTCAGTATACTGTGTCTTAGAAGGGTATTCATCTTCAACTGCGGCAAGGTATCTCACTGGGCTAGCCCAATAAAACCACCATCAGTCCGGACGAGCGCACGCACGCACACATCACTATAAAAGTGCAATAATCTTGGACGCGACACCACACATATTTGATTTGTGAAAGTTACATGTGTCCATGTAGTTTTATTATGAGCATATCTAATTATAATTTACATTGTTACATATACCAAAGGAGTTGACAAGTTTCGTGGACACAGGTAACTTACAAAACTTTACATTTCCAGCTGGAAAGAAATGTTCTGCCTTTCTGTTTAAAGTTATTTTGTGGAGAAGCTGTTATCCAATAATGAAGGATGGAAACTATGGCCCAGTAAAGAAATACTTCACAGGTGCAAATGTCACCGAGCTGTGTGTTGACAGGGGCAGCAAATAAGATGTGTACTGCATTCCATTTGCTTGGAAAAATGATGGAATAGTTAAAAGCTTTGAAAACGGGATGATTTATTTTTAATCAAGAAGTATTTGTTGCTCTACAGATGATTTGTTTCGCCAGCGTCTGTACTATCACCAAAAAGAATGATAACTGGCTGATATCTACGTTGGCAGTACTGGCATTCTTTTTCAAGAACGTGATCTTCAGCCTTAACTCTGGTGTGATTTTAGCAAAGGCTGCATTGATCAGCACTTCAACCCTTAGACATTTGAGTTTTGTTGCCTTGCCATGAACCTTTCACACCCAGAATAGTTCAACATATTATTTTTAAGACAGAAGGATTGTCTTATACTTTACTGGTTTTATTTGTAGGCAAATTTTCTCAGATGATCTGTCCGATATTTCTGCACGGTCGCCTTCAGACTACTCCTGTTTGGTATGGCTGTATCTGGTTCCCGGGCGTTATCCATGACAATAACCTGGGTTTGTTAAGATTAATATCCATTGATATACCCCAGATCATGGGTTCTGGTGTGAAAAACAATGACACAATTACCTTTACCATATGGTACCACAGTGGAATGAATCTTATTCATCAAGGTCTGGAAGCCCCTGTGATCTTGTAGACAGGATGGACTAGTGTCTGAAAACTGCTCAGTCATCGCCACATACAGTGTATCGAAATCCCATCTCATGGAGAGAAATGTAGTCCAGGAAACATTCATTGTCTTTACTCTTCTCCCAAATTCTACTTCAAGTGAGCTCATAAAGCTTGTACCCATAACCCCTTTATCAAAGCTGTCTAATATCCTTTTACGTCATGTTTGATAAATATAAAAAAGAATATAGGGGTCAATTCATACTTGTTGGTATGTCCATTTAGTCTTGTCCTTTGACCTTCTCAACTCACTGGACATGCTTTCTCAAAAGAAGTTGTGTTAACTTTAACCTCATAATAATTGCAAACATATGAAGTAAAGAAGATACATTTATTCTTGCTATTATAACCTGAAATATACTATAAACATAAATGATTGTTATCATAACAGCTTCTGGAATATAAGACATTTTCACCCAAAAGTGGCTAAAGTTGAGTTCCAAGGATGCTTAAAAGAAATTAGTAACAGCTAGAACAAGAGTCATCAGAAGATGACAAATGACATGACATGGCACTATTAAAAGAAACCCCATCTAAATAAACCAATCTCTGAGTTATTGACAAAATGACATTTTCAATATGACAATTTGTAATCACTGGTATAGAATATGTAAGAACAAATGATCACTATCAGGCCTTGATGGAAATAAATAATGCACTGATTTTCTTCACAAAAACATCCTCTATTCTTACACATGATTTTCTCAAGTAAAGACTTCATGAATTTTCATCTTTGCAGCACCTGGAATCAGCATGTTTTCTTCATATCTACTTCTTGAAAGCAAACATGCTAAACATTTCTTTGAGATTTGTCTGTTTTGCACTCTTGGAGGTCTTCAACAAGCCTGATACCCGACAGTCCTTTTCAACTGCAAATAAAAAAACCAAAACATTGAAATTATGATTTGATGAATGTTGGGGACACAATTTCATTGATATAATCTGAAAATGATTCCAAAAGATTAGAATAACTAAATGCAGCAAATGCATCAATTCATTTAATCAACAAACCAGAGTAAGAATCATTTGTTCAATTCAGTGATATGCACCTGATATTCCCTTATATTGAAACAATTTACAACAGAATACAAGGTAATTTCAGTTATATTTTCTAGTTGACAGTCAGTGATTCTTCAAATTGTCTCATTAAAATCAGATCTTAGTTCTCGCTACTGCTAAACAAAGATCTTACGACTTCCTATTAGGAGTCACGTCAGAACGACCAATCAGTGTGTCGCTTACCAGATCATGAAAGTGACGGTCGGAATGTTATTTCTAAACACGGGGTATTCCGAACGATAGTTACGGGCTTAACAACTGCATCTAGACCATCTATTAGCCATTCCAGAATTCTTCAGGTTTTAAATATTTAATCGAGAAATTGTCAAAATATGTTTTGAAGCGTAGTCGCCAATTTGAAGTTAGTGTTGTCTGATTGGCTAATGTCGACTGCTTGTCAGTCATTCCATTGGTCGGTCAAAGTTTGTGCAAGGTTGGTCTGAGAACTAAGATCTGATTTTAATGAGATTGTTCTTCAGCTGATGGAGTCGGGGTCAATTTTGATATTGGAGATACATGTATATTGATGCCTTAAAGTTTGAGCTGGTTTCTCTTAAAAAGCACATTAATATAACATACTAATGGCATGATTCAAAGTTGCATTGGCACATTTGCTTTGCCGGATACAGTAGACTTGACATGAAAAACAAAATATTCTCTGAAAATCCACTCTGCTCCTTTCCTATTGGTATAGAAAGTAAATAAATGAAGTAGTTCTACTAAAGAAGTTGTCACAGGTTGTAAACTAGGATGATACATCAACAAAGTTCCATAGTTTAAATATATATATCATGATTTCCTGCTTAAAACATTCAGAATAACCAAAAACCAAAGCAGGTATGGAGTAAGGTCTATGTTCTAGAGACTGGTTCTTGGCCACAAACCCTGCAAGAGATCTGATAGATATAAAGCTCAAGAAGAGTCTAGTGCATGTATTTCTGATACTCTGCTGTAGCCACAGCCAGCAGAAAAGGCTGTGTTTCTGAATGACTGAAGAAGGAATCCCTGTGCTACTGGCTCATCATTCAATGCTGACGATAGCACAGATAAATCTCATGGAGTTCTGACATCTTCCAGGAAGAATGGCTGATTTTCTATAGTCAAACCATAATTCGCCAACATAGCGGGCCATACCGGTGCAATGAGTATGACTCTGCAGTCAGTACGTTCTATGTATGCCTTGGTCTGTCATTAAAAAATGTCCCCATCCAAAACTATGGAGAGTGTTTAGGTCGAGAGCTTGGGAGTCCCGATACTGGCTAGTGTACAGTAGAAAATTGTTGAGACATGATGACAATCCCCTCTGTGGCCTCCTCTCTGTCACTTGTAATGATTGATGGTTTTGAGCTTTCCCTTAAACAAATGAGGCGTTGTGATCAGGTTGGATTCCAGAAGTGCTTTTTGGCTGGACATTCCGCTCTTGTGAGCAACTCTTCCCACAATGCCATCTAGAAAACTGTAAATGAGGCCAACATGGTCATGGTAGAGTCAAGTTTTTCTGTGTTAAGTATGAAAAACCAGTCCATAGCATAACAACCCCTTTCGCCAGATGTGTTCTAGTTTAATAGCTTCCACTGCCTCTGTAATGGTTGTCAGACGCTTGTTAAGCAATGCTTCATTTAGCTGCTCAAAATCACTCAAGGACTCTGTGTTAATAGGATCGAAGTTGAAAAGGAAATGTCAGGATATGAAATAATTATATAATTCTACATACCACATACAAGTTTACAGAATATCATGCAGAAATGGATAAGAAACTGAGAAAATGACTGAGTAGTGGGGGGAAATTATTACTTGATCCAACATGCAAACTTGTGGTTTCAGAGATGTCAAAAACATAAAATCTCAATATAGATAGACAGTGTTACGACATAAGTTCACTGCAACAAGTGAGATGCCAAAACAATAACCTCCTGTTGAATAGGAGAAAAAGTTCAAAAACATAATGAATGATTTGGTCCTCAAGCCAGGTCATCGTACAGCAGTAGCAGCAATAGATCAAATACTAAATAACCTGTTGGTATTGTTTATTCACTTTCAGTATAACTGTATGTTACTGCAAGCAGTGTACATGGCGTATTGGGAATGTTTCATGTTGTACTGAATGAATTTAAACCCTGACTGTATATAACTCAACTATGAACCAGGTCTGTCATTCATTCAGATTATTGGAATGAAACTTTTTATACACTGAACCACAAAAGAAATGTCACCATGGATAGATATATGAGAAACACTGTAAACATACTTTGAGACATATTAAATAGATGAAACTTGGCAAAACTGATCATCAAGTTTGAAATTAAAGTGTCAAATGTTCTCAAAGTGAAACACAACACTAGTCTGAGAAAATGGCATCACAAGGCAGTATCCTTGGTGTCCCCCATGTGCATTGATGACTACCATGCAACGTCGATATATATAATGGGAGAGGCGGTTGATGAAGGCACTTGAGCCCCCACTCTGATGAACGCCTGATGCAGTTCAGCTGCAGTTGTCTGCCTTCATTCAGCCGTCTTTGAATCTCGTCCCACAGGTGCTCAATGGGATTTAAATCGTGACTGAGGGCAGGCCACTGCATGATTCTGATGCCATTCTGCTGGAGGAAGTCACTTGTTGCTCTCGCGGTTTGGGCACAGATGTTATCATGCTGAAACTCGTTGCGGCGACGTGCCAAATGAGATTTGGCATGTGGTCTCAAGACTTGATCAATGTACCGAGCCCACCATTGCCTCTCCCTGGAAGACCCTCTGTGCAAGACCAATTCCACCCCACAACATGATGCTCAGACTACCCCACGAGTCTCTTTCAACAATACAAGCAATTGAATAACGTTTCCCACGGCGTCGCCAGACTGTCTCTCTCTCTCTGCCATCTGCTGTTGCGATACAGTAACGGCTCTCGTCTGAGAAGAGGACTCTTGCTGGTGGCGCCAATGCTGATGCTGTGTTGCCTACTGAAGACGGTCCTGGCGATGACGTGGTGTCAGAATGGGTCCTTGGTGTGGCCTGTGACAGTGGAGGTGTCTGCTCATCAATCGTCGACGCATGGTGTCTGCACTAATGTATCGCTGGTGTGTCCCCATGGTCTTTCCACAACATGGTTGCTCATCTGTAGTGTTGGTGGTCTGATACCGTTGCTGGAGTCCTTACGTGGATTTGAAATGCATTGGCTACTTGCGGGGCGGTTTGTCCAGCTTGTCCAGCTTGTCCAGCTTGTCCAGCTTGTCCAGCGGCTTGATGTCGCTGATTTCTTGTCAATTTTGGCATGAGGTAGCAGTTCAATAACGAATTAATTTTATCCAATCTGGGTGGATTTTTATAGGGCAAGAAATGGGGGAACGTATGTGCATTTCATTTTGCACGGAACTCACGTGCATCGGGTTACCATGGCCGTTGCCGTGATGCGTTTTGGTTATATCGTCATCTGCTTTAATTTTTTATGATCAAATTTCATTTTTCCGGACAAGGTAATGTTAAATTTTAGAAACTTTGACAAAGATTACCCAGATATTAAAATGACAACTTTTCATGCAATGTTACTTGGGGTGACATTTCTTTTGCGGTTGACAATAGAATAATTGATCTGGTAATCATTCCATCATCAAGTTCTGTTGGTGTGATTACATACCATCTGAAGCTATCCACACCCAGATGAAACACAGCTGTGAAAACAACTATGAAAGGTGTATAAAAATATTTTAATAATTACTCCAAGAAGTAGTAGAAATATTGTATTGGACAATCTTTAGTTAATGCAACAGTATCACTAAGACCATGATGTCCTTCAGATGTCATCTGAGAGACATGCAGTGTGTGTTCCTATTAGTTATACTGGTCAACAGCTGAAAATACTTACATCTATCACTTGATGACATGGCCTTTTGTGCTGACAATTTCTGAAAATATAACAGACATACTCTCAGCTTGTGTTTTCTGTTTCAGTTTGCATTACTCAAATTATAAATGTTAATAATTCCAAGAATACTATCTCTATTACAGCAAGTGAGCAAACCCACCTCCCCAAGATTCTGCTATTAGAGAGCCGATGTTTTTCATCCTTTGAGCATGTGCAAAGACTTGGGCAACAAGATACTATTACTTGCACAACTGATTATATATATAGTTGACAGTGAAGAGGACTTCTGTTAAAATCTGAATTTTTATAGTGTGATCACAGCCAAATTACAGGAATCACGTTCATGATGTAATTAGAGGTTTCTTATTTGCAGGAATTACATGCATTATGAACCATTTGCATTTAACCAAATCAGGTGAGAGTTGACCTCACCAATACTTATCTATATTCATCTTTGTTCCCTCAACTTGGCTCCATACATCTATTTGCCCTAATCAAGAAGTTCATATGTACTACTAATTCAACATAACCGTGAAACAGTAAGTTTCATACCTCTACCTTAAAAACAATGAGAATGGATGCAAACAATTTAGATTTGCAAATCCCTGGGGATGCAAACAATTACAGCTAAAGATTGCAGGCTGCCTGTTACAGATAACTGTCAGTTCTATTCTGGTAGGATATACAGTCACGATTCAACACCTCAACTTTATTACCGAGTCCTCTGGGCTTGACAGTTAATACACTCAGATAAGTCCCTAGCAAAAGCTGCCCAGAATTTTGTTTCTAACCAATGTAGCATTCTATAGTCTATTCAGGGAAGAGTAAACAACAACCTGGAAAAAGCTGGGAGAGAGGGGATCCTAATCATAGGTGAGGTGAAATGGGCTTTAGCGTAGCATTCAAGATTATTGCACATGTGTGTACAAGTGCTTGAGCGTGTACGAGTTCAGAGTAATGCTGATTCTATGCATGGTGCTAGCATACTGAGATGCCATGTTGCAGTTTAACATGAATATATCAACAATACACAGTATCTTCTTTGATAGGCATTTAGAAGTTGGAGTAAGGATAAAAAATTATGTATGAACAACTTCACCACAGCCCTCACCACCAACCTCAAAGACTTCAAAATCAGGAAACTATACAAGAAGCCATCAACATAAAAAAGAATCCAGCCGTCAATCAACCGTGACCAAGGCTATACATACATTCTTAATCACATCCCTATCAAAATTCAAACACTACTCTTACAACTATACAATCTAATTTAGACCTCTGGCTATCTCCCCAAAACATGGAAAACTGCACTTGTGGTGCCAGTTCTGAAACCAGGGAAACCCCCAAATGACCCTGATTCCTACCACCCCATCTCTCTCACATCTCCAGTCCATAATTAACAACAGACTAAAGTTTAAAATTAAAAACAATAGCCTACTTAAAGAGGACCAGAGCGGCTTCACAGCCAATAGACAGACTTTAGACCACATTTTAAATTTGGAACATGATGTTAAGACAGCACAAGCACAAAAACAATACACTGTGGCCATATTTATTGACTTTTCTAAAGCATTTGATATGGTTTGGCACAACGGCCTTATTCAAAAATTATTAGACAAAGCCATAGATGGAAGAATTTTAAATTTCATTCACTCATTCCCCACCAAATTGAAAATGGCACCCCCCAGGGAAGCATCCTGTCCCCCACACTATTTAATCTCATGATTGATAACTTTTTTCCAAAACTCCCCAATAACAACTACAGCAAAATTCGCTGACGACATCTCATTCGGGACGTCATCAACATCCATAAAAGAAATTGAAAAAAGAATCAAACCCATCCTTTCGGACCTAGAATACTGGGCTTCCCAATGGGGGTTCAAAATCAATACCAAAAAAACCATCGGCTTATTATTAAAAAAATCCCACATGCCAAATTTAACACCCAAACTCACACTTAATGAAGAAATTATTAAATTCTAAAAAGAAGCAAAATTTTAGGAGTCACATTTGACCAACATCTCACATGGGCTCCCCACATTCATAATGTGGTCAATTCTTGTCAAAAAGATATCAACCTCATGAGAGCCATCAGCGGCTCTCACTTGGGAGCTGACAAACACACACTTATTAATATATACAAAACACTTGTACAAGCAAAAATAGACTATGCTGCTCAGGGCCTTCACTCCTTAACAGAAAACCTAAAAAAAAGCCCAATTCTATACAGTATAAAGCACTTAAGATAGCCCTGGGGACCAGAGCTGGCACCTCCCTAAACACATTACAAATCCTTACAGGCACCACATCCATACAACTGAATCGACACCAATCAATACTCAACTACTGGGCTGGGGCCCCATTCTTAAACAAATAACACTGAAATATCAAAATGCTAGACCTGCCACCATCAAAAAATTCAAAAACAATAAACACATAGCCCCTTTTATTACCCACCTATACAATCTCATAAAAACCTACAAACTAGAACATATCATCCACACACCACCAAACAATACATACATCCATGACCACCACCCCCCCCCCCCCCACCCCCCCCCCCCCCCCCCCCCCCACCCCCACCCCCACCCCCCCTGAAACAGACACAGCCCTAACCATAACATTAAAAAAACACAACAAACTCACAAACACAGTAAAAGGTACACTCTCACTCAACTACATTCAAGACAACTGGCCGGAACACACACACATATACACAGATGCATCATATAATACAAAAAAAAAAAACAGGGCTGGGTATCCACATAACACAGCCTTCACCAATCACTAAAAAATACCACTACACAAACTATACTAACACAAATACAGCAGAATTACTAGCCATATTACAAGCATACCACCAAGCTGAAACAATAAACCAAAATAAAATCATTATCATCTCTGACTCACTAATTAATTCAATACAAAAAATTGCAGACAAACACTCCAAAACCAGACCCGACCTAATTAACCAGATAATAAACATCCACTCAAAATTAAATACAGCAAATAAAACAATAACACTAGTGTGGGTACCCAGCCACACAGGCATACCAGGAAATGAAATCACAGATCAAACAGCAAAATTAGCAACAAATGAACAGTCCCCCACAATACAATTCCATACAAGCAAGGCCGAAACAAAAACATTAATTAAAAACACTATAAAACAAAAAAAATTCCAAGATAATATACAAAAATGCAAATGACAATGGATAAAAACACTGTTCACCACCCCAATTACAAAATGCAAAAACTATACAAACTCCATTCTAACAGATAAAAGTATAAACAGAATACATAGCGACCAAACAGATTTAAACACAACACTTCATAAACAAAACAGATACCCAAACCCAAACTGCACTCATTGTAACACCACAGAAGACATAAATCACATATTCAACATCTGTACCAAGTATAAACAACAACAAACACTATACAACTCCCTCCCAACTACAAAAACAATATCACCATACTATTTAAACCAAATTAAAAATAGCCACCTTTCTTAAAGCAACAAATTTAATAGCAAGACTTTAGACCATCCCAAACAAATTCACTGCCTAAATCTCCATTATAACAGCAACTTTTCAGATTCGGATCGGGATCGAAATTCTCAGCGCGGATTGTCTTCTACGACGTCCGCGCTTCAAATTCCGCCTGACACTTCCCCACGCACCGCGTCCTGACATACATCCACTCCCCCCGCGCTAGGCCCCAGTTTATTAGCTTAGGCTACCCACCCTTATCCATTGTTATTTTATCTTCTACTATTATTTATTTTTTCTTATTATATACTAGAATATCAGCTTAACTGTTCTCTATCTTCTTCTTTTTATTATTATTTATATCACTTTTTATCCCTATTTATATCACTTTTTATCCCTATTTACATTGGTTAATGTAGGACTTTACAAGCTTATTTGGCATCCCTTTGCCTCTACAACCCAAACCTCTCTTCTCTCCTACTTTATCCCCCTTCATTTACAGTTTTTTGGGCTAGAGGTTTATCATTATTCCCACTATTTATTGTTTTATATGACCCGTCTGCAAAATAGCCAGAGGCTGAAGCGCTCGTAAAATCTTAAACTATTGATTGTGAGAACCTGCACCAAAACATCGCTCTTAATTTCACCACATAAAACTCCGTAGATGTGATAGCGGTGTCTTCATCTGCTCATGCTAAAAATAGGCCAAGTTCAAAGGTTACGATCTCGTGAAACGAGAGCGAGACCTAATTACCCATGAGACCTAATTACCCATAAGCCCTTCTTCATCATGGCCTCATGCTAATAACAAGTACGTATATCGCTGGAGATTTTTTTTGGTGAATATACAAAGTAATATGAGTAGTACTCAATCTAATATCCCCAAACAACCTTCCAAAGGTTCAGGGGATCATGACAAACCTCCCGAAAGTGGAGCAGTCAGTCAAGTGTCGTTAAATCTGGCCAGTACGAGCCATGATGACGACCACGTGGGTCCGAAGGTTAGATCTACTAACCGGGGTACTTCACAGGGCGTCAGTAGCGCAGGCAAACTAGATCAGTTACCTTAAGGTTATAGGATTCCTAAAAAATGGAGAATTAACCACAGAATTGAACATGATCTCTCAGACTGGTCTAGCTCGAGCGAGTCAAGTTCGAGTGACAGTTCGACTGATAGTGACGAGTGCGATGTGGTTGATAGTTATCATCACAAAAGAGAGGTCGATTTTCAAACGTTTGTATCAATAAACTTGATAAACACCGCTCTGAAAATGGTCCTGCAACTGTAGCCGGTTCAGCTGAACCAGTAGATGAATATGTCCCTTTTTCGATCACACAGGCAGAATCAGATTCTTGGTCCTTGCCAAGCCATCTGTCTAATCATCTCAATACTCAGTTCTCTACCTTCAAAAAAGATAATGTGTTGAATGAGAACATTCTTGATGATCACCCCATACCTGATGAGCATTGTTTGACTGCTCCCCAACTGGATGGGTATTTAGATGATCTTTTTGAAGCGCGGGACAGGTCATTTGAGAAAAAAACAGAT